CTACGTTGAGAAATGATTGGAAATTCTTATTTGAGGGAAATTTAGTTGGAATTCTACTAAACACAGATCTAGAGTATACACTCCCAATGTCTATGTGGTAGTAGTTGACGAGGCTGAAGACTGCATCAACTATCACCTCATTGCACAGGCAGTCCCCAACTGTTGTTACACAAGATGATCATCTCACAGCTGGAGCTAATGGGCCACCTGTGCTCGTAGAAACTAAGAGTGAATAATCTAATTGTTAATGAGAACTGACACAGTAAAGTTCAAAATAATCACAAAAGAAATAGGAATGACTACTTACTCTCCCATAACTTGAACAAAATCAGGAAAAGTAGCATTAAAAAAACTCATAATATCTTCCTGTTTGGACAAAAAAAAATGTATTAGAATAATTTAAAATATTCTATCAACCTTGTTATATAATAGTAACACTAACTAACTTGTAACCAAAGATGATAATAAAAAAATTGCTGCTCACCTTTGTCTCCAAAGCATCAAAATTTTCAAAAGCCATGATAAGTGTACATGTAAAAGACTGCTCCTGCAAAGAAAGTCGCAAACAATAAATGATGAAAATCGATTAAAATTATTTTTTGAAGGCAGGAAGCATTCACTGCCTAACTGAAGAAGATTAGTTAAAGAGAAAAAGAGCATCACTTTTCCTTCGCTGACACAAGCTGGTTTTTTATCAAATTCTCCTTCTTTTACATTCTCCTGAAATATCGTTTTTCTCTCTATTTGTTAAATGAAGACTTAGGTATTAACTTAATACATTTTAATGAAAGGAGAGTTTGGCTGTAGAATGGGAATTAGGCTTTCCCCTGCTACTATTCTGCCACTAATTCAATGCTTCCTTTTTTCTAAACGTACAGTAGAATCCCGATTTTTCAAACCTCCAAGGGAACAGAAATTGGTTCAAAAAATCAGATAGTTTGAGAAATCGGGGGTCAAATTACAGCGTTCGACTGAGGAGAGGCAAACTACTTTTGGTTTGAGTTATTAGGAGGTTTGAAAAACTGAGGGTTTGAGAAATCGGGATTCCACTGTATGTGGCAAAGAATTATTAAACTTAAACTTAAGGACAACTGTCATTGCTGTCTTTCTATTCTAATTTGAGCTTTTGGGGATAACACTTGCACTCAAAGAGAAATGAATAACTAAAGATAGTTTATTATACAGCACAAGTGTTTTACTGGAAAATACACCACTCATAAAATTCATACGAAACTACATCCGGGACTCCAGTGGCGTATTTTCCATACCTTCACTAGTGACTTCAGATATTGATGACTTCTATAATATTGGGTTTGACCCTTGAACTGTACTTAAATTTGTTGACCAGTGTATGATCTAAACATCTTCGGATCTTCCTTGAAAGTTTTTAGCAATCTTCGGTTATCTTCAGAAATCTTCGGAAATTTTTGGAAAATGTTTGGAAATTTAGTGTGGCCTTCAGACAATTTTTGAAGAATCTTCAGACTCAGATAAATAGGCCCCATTTGTATTACCAGTAAGCACTTCATCTCTGTTAAGTTGAGATAGGCCCCCTCACTCAAATGCTGTTGAAACAAAATATTTTCCATCCTTGCGGGGGGAACGTAGACAATTTATTTGAAAGTACATACCTTGTTTGGTATCGCAATGAGCATAAAGGAGTCTCTGGGCCAAACATGTAGATAATTTTCTTCAATAGCATACTCTCCACTTTGAGTTGGTAAAAGCTGAAACTCTTTGTACCCATGTGGGATATATTCTTGGCTGAAGTCAAACCTGACATGGAAATCAAGTATGGCATTAGTTTTCTGTAACAAGAATTCAGTAAAGTTTTAACACAGTCAGCTACATCCATGCTAATTTCCTTCCCATTTCAACCCTGAAAAATGCATCCTTATCAAAGTTGATAGAAAAATAAAAAGTTTCTGCTAATCAGTCTTATTTCATGGACTCCACAAAATTGGAGAATTGAAACCAGCTCCTGGTGCAGTCTCAGTGTTCCAGATAAGTGAGGGGTCTCAGGTGAAAAACCTGACAAGGCCAACTGCATGAACCAACAAACTAATAGCAAATTTATGATTTGGTGGGAGCAGTGGGAATTGACCCAACAGAATTCCTAATAGACTCCCTGCCTTGAAAACGTACCTGGAACCCTGAGTCTAAAGATAGTTAGAGAGCTATGAAGTGGCTGATTGGATTGCATTTTTACCTGATTGTTAGTGACTTGGTTATATCAAAGTTTCATAGCCCCATGCGCACATTGTGTGGGAATGATACTTGATAACTAACGGTACCTTGGTCTTCTCATCATCTCATTTCTGATTGCCGAACGAGCTCCATCAGCTCCAATAATCAACTGAGCATCAACTTCTACAGTTTTACCATCAGAGCTGCCAACAGCAATGAAAAGAAATCATTTATGATAAACACAGCAGAAGGTATTTTATTAGCTCGTATGTTTCCATACTAGATATTGTTGGAGCTACATGGTTCATATGTGACATAAAAAGGTAAAGTCTGCATACAAGCCAAGTGGCTCATCAGGCTGGTGCTTATGTCCAGTTTCAGAAGCATGAAGCAACTAGGAGTATTTCTACTCCCCCCTGGATGGGATGCTAATCCATTGCAGGGTTACCCCCAGTATTAAATTTGCCGGTACTGCTATACACCTGGGTGGAGTGAGGCACTGTAAGATTACTGTGTATTTCCAAGAACACAACACAATGTCCCCAACTGCTTGATACTTAGTCAAGCTCATTAACCATTAGGCCATCAGGCCAAAGTGCTGCAATGGCTGGTGTGCTGGTAACTAACTCTGTTCTTTTCAGCCTGATTGTGGAAAGCACACACTGGACCCTGAATTGAGTGCTCCAGTTTCCAGCCTTAAGATGATTTAATCTCACAGTTCCATTAAATTCTTGGCAGGTTACTCTGCAATAGACTAGCATCCCATCTAAGAGTAACAAATACACCACTAGTTGCCTTATGCCATAGGATCAGGGGCCCATTTCTCGAAGGTCCCGAAAAGTTTTTGCATCCGGAAAGCCATAGCAATATCTCAAACCTTATGATTATACAGCGCTGTTTTGTTTACATATTAAATCATTCTTAATATCAACAGACGTTCTCTTCATACAAGGAGTTTCAGGCATATACACCTCTCTGCTTTTACATACAGATTATCTAAAAATGGATTTGCGGGCCCTAAAAATTTCCGGGGCTTTCAAGAAATGGGCCCCTGAAGACATATATGTGAGTAAGAACTTCATGGGCCACACTTTTGAGTAATATCACTTTAGCTCAAAGTGACTGGGATTATTGCTAATCCCAATGTAAAGGACTATGCCAACCCACATGGTTGAAGACTTTAAAGGCAAAGCACCAAATATGAATGCAGAAATATTGCAACGGGTCAAAACTTCAAGAAATATTCAAAAGAATTCTTAATTAATCTGTCAATTAACTAGTTGATCTTGTTGGTTTCTGGTGCATCCAAGCAACATGTATCATGAAGCACTCACTGGCTAGTTTTCACCTGTCAAGAGCATGTTGATGGGTTCAAAGATGTGAGGTTGAGAAGAAGTTTCATAGCATGAATTAAACAGTCTACTTGACCAAACTGATTTCTTGACTAATAACTTCACTCACCATAAGAATGTAAGATGGCCTTTCTCCAGGTCTGCAGATAGCAGCTTGTGCTCAAAGTACAACTTCACATTAGAGAAGGTCTCCACAGCTATTGAAGGAGTCATTTTAAAAGTATTATCAAATAGGAAATAGGAACCACAGACAGATAAAAAAGGTGAAAAATTATTACAAATTTACACAGACAAAAACTACTGTAGAACCCCAGTAACTGGAACTCTGAAAGGAAACGAAAAACAGTTCAAGTTAGCGGGGGTTCGAGTTATCAGGGTCGATTGAATATCCAACTTGCCATGTTAATAATTGATAGTTTACTGATTTTTCTGCACTTCAGTATACAATGACGGCTAAATTTAGGCACCACATCCAGTATGACTCATAACATCGGGAAATGACCGTCAAATATGTGAGTGGTTGGTTGCACTAATTAAAATCAAATTGCTGTGGTAACAACAGTAACAACAGTTTATTTATTTCTACTACTGTAAACAACTAAAAGAATTTACAAGATTATAATTGGTGTTATAATTGGTGTGGTGTTAGTTTTGAGTGTTTTTACCGATTACATGACAAGAAAAGCCAATGGGATGACATCCCTGGTGAGTTACATGAGCCAGAATTCAAGTTATTGGGGTAAATTTTTATCAAGGGAAACAAAATTTAGTTCGAGTTAGTGGGGTATTCGAGTTATCCGAGTTCAAGATAACCAAGTTAAAATGACTGAAAAGTGGGGTCAAATCCAAGGGAAATGGGACTTGCTTC